GATTGTTTAACATTTTTTAGCAAAAAGTTTCCAAAATCCACAGAGACACATTTCCCTTTCACCCAGACATTCTGCACAAATAGTGACAGGTCTTTCTGGGATCCAAATGTATTTTAGCAATGACAGGGAAAAGTCAAGAGGAAGAACATGTGTATTGAGAAAGTGGGGATAAAAGTGGAACAGAAAGATTCCATCTCCTGGGTATCTGTTTATAAAAGGAAAGAAGCAGATGCTGTGGCAAATGCCTGTAATCCCAGAAACTCGGGAGGCTGAGGTGGGATGATTGCAATTAACCCACCTCAGCAACTTTTCAAGGCCCTAAACAACTTAGTGAGACACTATCTCAAAATAAAAAATAAAAGGGGGCTAGGGATATAGCTCAGTGGTAAAGCACTCCTGAACCAATCCCCAGTACCAAAAGAAAAGAAACACAATAATTTTCCAACACGTAGTGCCATTTCAGTGAATATAAACAATAAGCTCATCTATCTGAATACCATTTGATAAATACTCATAAGCCTGTATCTGATTAAACTCTCTTCCTTCTAAAACTGCTATTTTCTCCCCAGTCTTATCTTAGTGAGAAGCACCTCATTTACATAATCTACCTAAGACTGAAACCTAAGAGTCATCTTTAACACTTCTCAATTTCTGCAGTCCCATAACATCAAAGAATTGTCTAAATTGCTTCTCAAGGACTTTCAAAATCTCTCTCATAATTGAGGCCTGCATCATCTCCAACCTGGATTATTACAACAATCTAACAAATAGTTGGTCTAGCTTCTATCTATCCCTATTTATTTTTTTAAAGTAGTTGGACACAATATCTTTATTTTGTTTATTTATTTTTATGTGGTGCTGAGGATCAAACCCAGGGCCTCACATGTGCTAGACGAGCGCTCTACCGCTGAGTCACAATCCCAGCCCCATATCCCTGTTTAAACCATCTTTTCCAAAGCTTAAATGTCTTGACATGCCAAAATGCAGTGCTTCCTGAGGTAACCCAGTCACTTTTCAGATAACTCCCATTCCTAAAAAGGTTTTTACTGTGCTTTAAGTTAAAATCTGTGTCGCTGCATTTTCCAATCAGTCATCTTCCTTTTGCCTAGACTTTCAATCAACATAAATTAAGAACCTCTATGTGCCAGTTGCTATGCATTGGAGTTACTGTTCAGATTACGGACAAAGAGGAGAAAGATACAGCAACAGATAACAAACAGTATCACAGTGCCAAATAGAAGTAAATTAAAGTTACCAATAGCTGTCTAGAGGATCCCAAGGGGTGGGCTCAGTGGTTTCGGAAAAGTTTCAAGGGCAGAGGGGTAGGAGGGAAATGGAGGGGGCAGGAGGATTAGCAAGGATGGTGGAATGTGATAGACATCATCGTCCAAAGTATATGTATGAAGACACAAATTGGTGTCAACATACTTTATATACAACCAGAGATATAAAAAATTGTGCTGTATACATGTAATAAGAATTATAATGCATTCCGCTGTCATTTTTTAAAAATCAATTTAAAAAAAAGAGATCATTTCTATACTTGTATAAATAAGAATACAAGAAATGTACATAAGAGAGTACAAATTCAGAAGTGTGAAGTAATAGTATGTTAAGCAAACGACAAATAATATTACTGGAGAAATATATTTGGTTGCAATGAGGTTGTTGTAATTACTTAGCTATAAGCAGAACTATGGCCAATTTTCTTCATAGTTTAGGTACTCTATGACTTGTTTACCTATATGATAAATACTAAAATAGATTAAGTGTCTTACTTTTTGTAAATATATTGGGATTTTTTTTTTTTTCAGTGTCAGGGCTCAAACCCAGGGTCTTACACATATGAGGTAAGCATTCTGCCAGTGACTGATACCCTCCCCAGCCCTTGTGGTACTTCTCATTTCAAAAACTTCTTTATCAGTAAATTCTTTATACTTACAGACAACAACATAGTGTTATTCCTTAATTTTTTCTCTTTAACTCTTTTCTATCTATTTCATCCTGACCTACCAAGTCCGGCTACCTAAAATATGGTACCTTTCTATTCCTTTTCCCACTTTCAGGAAAGCACTCTCCTAAAGTTAATCAGCTCTGAGTTATAGAGCTCTATATGCTTCTGTCTTTCAAAGGTTTACAACCCTAGCACCTACTGCTATGAAGTAACAGTATACCATGCAATATCTTATTTCCTCAATCCAAACATCAACTCATGAACAAATAAACAAAATGTGGTATGAGATATATGACGGCATATAATTTGGTAATGAAGAGAAATCAAGTAGTGAAACATGCTATGACATGGATGAACCTTGAAAACATGTTCAGTGAAAGAAGTCAGCCACAAAAGATCATATTTTGTATGATGTAATTTGTATATAATGTCCAGAATAGGCAAATCCATACCCAGAAAGATCAGTGGTTTTCAGAAGCTGGAGAGATTGAAGGGAAATGGACAGTGATTACTAATGAGCACAGAGCTATATGGGGTGGTTAAAAAAAAAAAAAATTTTAAAAAAATCTGATATTGATTGTAGTGATGACTACACTAAAAACCACTGAATTGCTAGGTTGGTAGTGTAGATTATATGATATCTCAATTATATCTCAATAAAGCCATTACAAAAGAAGAAAAATCTTGTTTGCATTTCATTTGCTTTGAATTCAAGAGAATTCAAAGATAGAAAGGGAACAGTGGAGATAACAGACACTGGAGATAACAGTGGAGATAGCAGATACTATTCCTCACTAGGATTGGTCCAGCCAGTCTTGATGAGTTAGTCTTTGACCGTTAGTCCATTCTAAAAAGCTAGTGTATACTAGTGAGGAATGTGGAATAGGTAGCAAGTCACTGAACTGCTTTTACATGAACATATGAAACAAAGTAATCTAAAGCACTGAAATTCCTCAGATTCTAGCAAGCAATTTAAATCCTCTCAGAGCTCATTCCACTAAAAAGACTGGACTCATTTGTTCTCTTCCTGAGTATGATAACTGGCTGAGAATAGCACCCATTTAGTTTTATCTTGTCCCTACTCCAAGTGATAGTGCTGAACTAGTGCCCACTACCATCTCTGAATTCTGAACAAACTTTTTGAATTCTCTAACAAACTTTCAGAAATTAACAATGTCCTATTTTATTGAGTTATTTTCTGAGCTTACTTGCTTTGTAAGGCAGAATAATGGCCTCCTAAAGATGTCCACATCCTGCTGGGCTTGGTGGTGCATACCTGTAATCCTAGCGGCGTGGGAAGGCTGAGGCAAGAGGATTGAGAGTTCAAAGCTAGCCTCAGCAAAAGCGAGACGCTGAGCAATTCAGTGAATCCTTGTCTCTAAATTAAATACACAAAAGGGCTGGGGAGGTGTCTCAGTGGTTCAGTTGCCCCTGAGTTCAATCTCTGGTATCTGCCCCACACCAAAAAACAAAAAGATGTCCACATCCTATTCCTTGGACTATGACTATGTTACCTTACATGGCAAAATGGATTAGCAAATGTGATCAGATTAAGGATTTTGAGACAGGAAGATTATTCTGATTAATTTAGATGTATACAGTGTAATTACAAAATAATCTTTATAAGAGAAAAGAGGAGGTAGGGAGAATCAGAATCAGAAAAGGAGATGCAATGACAGGAGCAGAAAAAGCCAGAGTGATATAATTGCTGTCCAGCACCATGTGCTAGGCAATGTAGGCAGATGCTAGAAGCTAAAAAAAAAAAAAAAAAACAAGGAATTCTTCCCTAGAACCTCCAACCTTACCAACACAGACTTCTGATCTATATATAAATGTATTATACATTTATACTATTTTGTTGTAATTTGCTACAGCAGCAATGGGAAACTAATACACTTGTCCCTGACAATATCATCAATATCAGGCCCAGAGGATATGCCTCCTATTTGTAGAGTCCAGTCGTTCTTATTGCTCAAGATAAAGTACTGGTTTTGAACAACTATTAATTGTCACAGAGAAGAAATGTTTTTTTTCCTTAGGGATACAAAGCTCCAGAACTAACCAGTAGAAGCTGCAGTTTGATAAATGGCTAGTGCTTAATACAGGTAAAGAAAACACAGAAATACATAATTATGTCACTAAAATTTTGAAACTCAGATTTCATAATAAAATTGTGTGTGCCTCAGTAATAATTTCAATTGTGTGTGAGTGATCCCTGTGTGTGTATGTGTATATAAAAGTATTCTTTGACATGCTTTTTTTTTGGGAGGTGGGTGGGGGGTTCCAGGGATTGAACCCAGGAGTGCTCAACAACTGAGCCACATCCTCAGCCCTTTTTATTTTTTATTTTGAGACTCTGTCTAAGTTGATTAGGGCCGCATTAACTTGCTGAGGCTGGCCTTGAACTTGAGATCCCCCTACCTCAGCCTCCTGAGTTGCTGGGATTACTTACAGGCATGCACCACCATGCCCAACTTGACATTCTTTTTAGGGGAAGTCTTAAGAAGGATATAAAGTTAAGATAGGACAGGCAGTTTGGAATGGGGACTTTTATTTAAGGTTTGGCAGTAGATAAAAACTATAATAACTGTCCCAGAGTAAAGGAGCATCAAGTGGGCAGTAATGGAAAAATATTTTCATCTAAGATACAACAAGTAAGACTGGAGGAATGATACAGGGAAAAAAGACAATAAGACACAGAACACTAGACACCACTAAGATCAAAGTCATTACCAGGAGCCCCAGTTTTCATATTTTGTTAGTATGGATGTGATCTGTAGCCTAATACAACACAGAGCCTCCAAATTTTCTTAACATTCTTTTTCCAATTCCAGTGTAGAGTTCTTATAACTGAGCTGTGAGTCATAATTTGGTAAGAAAACATAAATTTCTAAAAACTGTGAAAACATCCCTACTGTTCACTTACTTTTCTTTCTTCCCATTATTTAAGTAGATGTGTAACACTAATATTGCCAATGTTATATATCAGTTTATACCTTCCCCCTGCAAGGTTAAGTGTTCACAAAGAAATCTCTTCTTTACTTACAACTGTACAGCACGGCACTTTTGAAGGTATCCCATCTTCCTCTGTTGCCCCATTAGGTCCAGGTGCCTCTTTCCTCCTCTTCCTTGAATTGACTTTGGCTGAACTCTGTGCATCCATCTTCTTTTAACTGGTAATAGAAAGTGGAAAAATGTTTGTAACCAGTATTTCATAGATGCTAATACACTCAGCAAAGCATTGCAAACATTTCACCAAGATGAGCCAAGAACATCTGGCAAAAACAACAAAGCCTCACAAAATAGGCTCTGGGAGAAACAGTGAAACGCTTCTGTGTGAAGCAATTAATCTCCTGACCTCAGAAGTTGTACCTGCTACCAATGCAACCTCTACACTTCTAATTTTATATCTTGACTATATGCAAAAGATTAGGATAACCTGGCTAAAAAAGACACCTATCTAGGTTGCTTACCTGGCATCTAAAATGCTTGGGACCAAAAGTATCAGATTTCAGATTCTTGAGATTTAGAATATCTGCACAGGGTTAAGCATCCATAATGTGAAAATCTGAAATCCAAAATGCTTGGGAATCTGAAACTTTTTGAAAAAAAAAAATTATATATATATAATTTTTTTTCCAACCTATATAGATTGAATACCCCTTTTATCATTTCTGGATCAATTGGAGGCATGGCAGGTGCAAGGCAATGTGAAAGGTATGACTGGTAAAGACAGAGGAAAAAAAAGACTTTTATTTATTTATTTGTTTATTTGTATGTACATCTTCATTCATTTATTTTTTGCAATATTGAGGATTGAATATATAGGGGTATATTACCACTGAGCTATAACCCCAGATCTTTTTTGTTTTATTTTGAGGCAGAATTTCTTTAAGTTGCTGAAGCTGGCCTTGAACTTATGATCCTCATGCCTCAACCACTTTGGTTACTGAGATCACAAGTGTTTGCCACCACCCCTGGTGAGAAAAGAGACTTCTTAAAAGGATAGCTATTACCAAGTCCTGGTTTAACATATAAGCATGGATTTCTTAACTCAAAATGCTTTGAAAGCCAGGCATGGTGGTGCACACCTATAATCCCAATGGCTCAGGAGGCCGAGACAGGAGGACCGAGAGTTCAAAGCCAGCCTCAGCAAAAGTGAGGCACTAAACAACTCAGCGAAACCCTGTCTCTAAATAAAATACAAAATGTTCCTGGGGATGTGACTCAGTAGTCAAGTGCCCATGAGTTCAATCCCTGGTACCAAAAAAAAATGCTTTGTAGACCATTCTACTAGCGTTTAGCTTTATGGAAACTGAAGTAATAGTATACTTTAAATGTTATTTCCCTTCCTTTTTCAGAACTATATTCCCTTCCTCTTTCAGGGTCTTAGTACCTTAAGCTTGCTCAGAGTCTCCAGCTATTAAAAGTCTACCCAGGTTTCTCTTCACCCAAAGGAAACTCATTTTTAGTGTCTCACTTTACAAAGAGTTTTAGCAACTAGTTTATCATAGGAAAGTTCTGAATATTTGCTATTTTCTATTTAAATGGCTTGTGCAACATCTCCTGCAGGGATATTTATATATTTCTCAGGTAATACAATTTGCTCAATAAGTTAATTTATTGATAATGATAAAATGTAAAAATATCAGCCAAATATTTGTGATAGGAAAAGTTCTGTGATTAACTGTCATCTCTAAGAAAAGTGAAAAATCATCAGGGTAGAAGTAAAAGGATAGCTACACAATGAGGACATATTTTGCCTCACTGCCTCCTATAAGACCTCCTGAATGAGCCATTTATCTAAACAAATTGTGCTTTACTTTCTTTCCTCCTGCTAAATTCCAAGTGGTGATGTGATAAGATCTACAAGAAACCTGGCCTGGTTCTTAAGAGACTAAAGGTGACACCCCATGAGTCATGGGTAAGTATTAGACTGACAAACATATAGCTGAGTCTAAAGTGAAAAATAAACACCACCCAGAAACTGTCTTTCATTACAAATGTGAATTAATATTTAATACTAAGTTCTTCCAGTTATAACAATCAGAGCTTTTCTTTACTGCTGCTATTAATTATTCTTTCAAAACATCCAGAGGTCAGTACTCTCAAGTCATTGGTCTAAAAAGGCCTGCTAAGAATGTCTAATCAATCCAATCAGTGGCACATGATTGGATTGATTAGACGTTCATTTTCTCTATCACATGAGAAAAATGAAACTTGGCATCAGACAAATCAATATTATCGGGCAGTCAATAATGTGAGCACTTAACTGTGAGCAAGGTACTCTTAACATAATTTTTAAAGTACAAACTAAATCCAGAGAACATTATGCTAAGTGAAATAAGCCATGTACAGAAAGAGAAATACTGCATAAACCTCACTTATATGTGGAATATAAAAAGTGACCATAATAAATTAACAATAGATATATTATTACCCACTGTATATTTCAAAATTGCTCAAAGAGTAGATTTTAAATGCTTTTACCACACATACAAAAGAAGATTAACTATGTGAAGTGATCAATTTGTAAATTAACTTGATTTTATCGTTCCACAGTAAACATATATCAAAACATCATAGTGAGGGCTGGGAATGTAGCTAGTTTTAGAGTACTTGCGGAGTACATGTGAAGCCCTGGGTTATATCCACATACCAAATACACAGAGACACACACAAAATTGCAGTGTATCCCATAAACATATGGTTATTATTGCCAATTAAAAATACAATAAAGTGAAAGTACCAAGTATTTTCTCAAGGAAAATTTAATCACTGTAAGAAAATCACATGCAGAGCCCCACCTTAATGTAAATATTTGATATAAAAATATTCTTTAGCATTCCAAAACCAGTAGGTGAACCCTTTGCTGAGGAACAAGATATTTACATAGTTTCAAAGTATCTCCCCATAGATTACTTATTAATTACAAAGGGAAAGTGTTACTTTGGTAGTAGAAAAAAAATTTCAGCAAAAACATCACCAATAATGTCTCCTGATATAAGGCACTGAGGACATATTACCTACCAAAAATGTGTAAACTACATCAATTCACAAGAAAACAAGCAAACAAACGCCAATTAAAAGATATTCTACAAGGAATCTGTAATCTTCAAAAAATGTCAACCATGGGGAAAAAAAAAAGGCTAAAAGACTATTCCAATTTAAGAATAAAGAGACAACTGAATATAATGCATGATTCCAGGTTGGAGAGGAAACTGTATAAAGGATAGTTAGTAGGATAATCAATAAAATCTGAATACGGATTATGTATCAGATAACAACATGCATCTATGTTTACATTCCAGAATTTGATAATTTTACTGCTATCTAGAAGACTGTCATTGTTTTTAGGATACACATACTGAAGTATCTTGGGATAAAGTATCATGATTTCTACAGCTTGCTCTAGGTGAAAGAAAAACAAAGAAGGAAAAGAATTAGGAGGAAAAGGGCAAGGGGAAGAACATATATTTAAAAGTAAAGAAAATATGGGAAAATCATCAATTTTTAATCTAAATGAGATTTATAGGAGTAGATTTTAATATTCTTGCAACTGTTCTATAGGCTTTACTATTTTTTACCTTTTTTTTCAAAATAAAAAGAAGAGGAGAGGGAGAAAGAGAAGAAAAACGTGTATATTATATATACAATGAGCTGAGGATGTAGCTCACTGGAAAAAGATGGTACAGTATATATGACAATATGTTATCAATACATGAATCTAGGTACAGCATAAAGGAATTTAATATTCTTGCAACTTTTCTATAGGCTCTACTTTTTTTCAAAATAAAACATTTAATTTTTGTTTGTTTTTGTTTCTCATTTTTGTTTGAGATGGAGTTTCACTATTTGTCTGGGCTAATGGAGAACTCCTGGGCACAAGCAATCCTACATCTCAGTTGCCACAGCAACTGGCAAAAAAAAAAAAAAAAAAAAAAAAAGTTTAATTTTAAAAGTGCTCTACAACAATTTCCTGCACAGAAAGGACCTCATATGAAATTGACATTTAGGGTTTCTAGAAACACATGACTGATACACACACACACACACACACACACACACACACACACACACGTATGTTTAGTAATTTAAGACTCTTACAAAGAAAATAATAATAGCAATAGTTATAATAAAGCTATCCTTTTTTTAATATTTACCATGGGCTAGGCACTGTGCCATGCATTTAATATATATATTACCTTCTTGACCCCTATAATCTAAGAAGTGGGTATTATTAGTACAATGTACAAATGAGAAAATTAAGGATCAGGGAAGTTAAGCAAACCCACCCAAGAGACCAGACAGCTAATAAGTAGGAAAGCCAGACTTTAAATTCAGCCTTGTCTAATTCTAAAACTTGTACTTTTCTGTCTTTCAGAGATACAAATTTTTTTGTGTGTATAAGCCAGTCAGCCTAACTGAACGCTGGAATAAAAAGTCATGATTACTTAAAAGTAAAAGGGTCCTAAGGCAAACTAAATAAAACTGATATAGCTACTGGCCTGATTCAGAGACTGCCAATCAGGCAGCCATACAGATCAACAGACCTTTCCTACTGGATGGTCTTGCTAAGGTTTCCTGATAAACTTAAGCGATAAAGAATTCTTTTACCTCTGCTCCTCCCCCTTCTATATTACAAAAAGGTGATCTTTTAAAGACCTGTATATTTCTCATTTGTCAAAACGGAGTTTTAAGGGTGCTATAATAAATCAGGGGTCAATGTCATATTCACTATTATTTCCCATAACTTCAAATTAAAATCCCTAATCCTTACTAAAAAAAAAAAAATTAAAAAAATCTAAAAACACATTTACAGGAGCTTCTCAGAAGTCTTTGCTCTGTTTTTTCTTTTTCTTTTTTGGGGGGAGTGGTGACTAGAGTAGCTTTAGGCTTTAATGAAGTATAACTGACATACTTTAAAGTGTATTTATGAGTTTTAACACATTTACACACATGTGAAATTATCAAAAGTAAGAAAATGAACATATCTACCACCCTCAAATTTTCTCATACCACATTATAATCTTTATGATCGTTTCTTCCCTACTCGAACTTTTCTGCTTTTTTTCTTTGACAACACATTAAATATGCAACACATAAAATTTGCTTTGTTTTTAAATGTTTATTTCTTAAAGTACTATATCATCTTGTCATATGATTGAATTTA